TATATATATTCTCCATCAATTATTTCTTTTACCTTTATGACCCCCACTACAACTTTATTTTGAACAATAATCTAAATTCAAACTGCCACTGTCTAAACGCATTGTGGACTATGACTTGGAACTTGGAATCATCTAAACTCCAACCATAATGAGGATTGAATTTTCATATCATTTCTGTCATCTTTGGACTTAAAAAACTAACTTATAAGTGTTATATTTGGCGTATTTATAAATTATAAAGAATCGAATAGTTTCAATTGATGAGCAATAAATAAATAATTAAATATATATATATATATATATATATATATATATATATATATATATATATATATATATATATATATATATATATATATATATAGAATCGCACTCACATGCGAATGTTTCGCCCAGGAACGAAATAGGAATGGATTCTGTTCGTCCACGTGTACAGATCTAATGGATGAGAAACACTGATTTTTTTAAAAAGCGCGGTGACATTTTCGTAAATAATTAAACATCGAAGTGCAAGTAAAATGTATTACAAGTGTATGTAAAATGTATTATAGGTGCAAGTAAAATTTACACTGAGCATCAATACTAAGTGCACCTATAGTTCTAAGTAGTTGCACCTATAGTTCTAAGTAGTTGCACAGATAGTTATAAGTAGTTGCACCTAGGTGCATGAATGTTTGCGGGTGGTTTTCAGGGGTATTACTACCCGTTGAACTCAGATCAATAAATGTTAACAGGGCAAAATTACATGCACTTATAGGTGAAAAGTAGGTGCACATATAGTTATAAGTAGTTGCACCTATAGTTATAAATAGTTGCACATATAGTTATAAGCACACCCAGGTGCATGAATGTTTGCGGGAAGTGAATGCTAACAAGGGAAAATTACATGCACTTATAGGTGAAAGTAGGTGCACTTATAAGTGATTTTACTTGCACTTCGATGTTCAATTATTTACGAAAATGCCACCGCATTTTTTTAAGCTATTAGATCTGAACACGTGTCGCACGCTGATTCGTTCGCATATTCCTTCCTGGGCACTTATTCGCACCTGAGTGCATCCCTATATATATATATATATATATATATATATATATATATATATATATATATATATATATATATATATATATATATAAAAGTCGGTTCTGGTGGGGTGGGCGCCTCAGATGCGGGTGTGGGGTTTAATTTGAGCCATTGATCTTGCTTAGATCAAGGTTCAAGATTACCAAAATTTAAAAAAAATAAATAAATAAATAACGTGGTGGCAATTTGGTAATTTTTGCATTCAAGTCAAATTTAAGGTGCGTGAGATTTGTGCTTAAGGTGCGTGGGTTTTGTGCTTAATGTGCGTGAGTTTTTGCTTAAGGTGCGTGAATTTTGTGCTTAGTCTTAGTAGTTGTTAAAACTTAAAGTGCGTGAGTTTTTTGTTTAAGGTGCGTGAGATTTGTGCTTAAGGTGCGTGGATTTTGTGCTTAATGTGCGTGAATTTGTGCTTAAGGTGCGTGGATTTTGTGCTTAATGTGAGTAGTTGGTAAAATTTAAAGTGTGTGGGTTTGTGCTTAAAGTGCGTGCGATTTGTGCTTAATGTGCGTGAGTTTGTACTTAATGTGAACCATTTTAAAATCTTAAGTGCGTGTTTAATATGCTTTGTTCTGTGCTTAAGGTGCGTGGTGGTTTGTGTACTTAAGGTGTGCCATGTCAATACTTAAGGTGCGTCCAACCGCACAACTGCACGGGAAACATCACCCGCACCTGAACCCTTCCCTATATATATGTTGAATTTGAACAATAGTCTAAACTTTATATATTAGAGTAACCTTTGGATGGGGCATTAGGCCAAACTTGACTGTGGATTATGGTGGAGTGGCTTGATTACAATATTTGAAATTGTTTTGTTTGTCTCTTATTCGGTCTCGCATATTAAAAAAAAAAAAAAAAAATCTAATTGTTGTAAAAATTTATTTGCAAGTAGATGGTTCTCATAATACTTGTTACTTTGTCCAAGATTTTGTGGTCACGTGACACCAATTTATAAGTTTGAACTCCAGACTTAAAGAATCACACTAATTTTTCGGTAATTTATATCCAGCATCAGGGCGCGCATTGCATTGTGCGCCCTGATGCAAAACGACGTCGTTTCAGATTATTTTATTTTTTTGAAATTTCTCTACCCTATGTTGGCGGTTAATTTTCTTTTTAAAAAAAAAAATCTCATGTTCAAAAATGTACATAATTTTATACTAGAATACACATAATTGTATACATGAGTACATAATTGTATAACAAAATACACATACTTTTTTTAATAGATAATACATATAATCTAACATAATACATAATATACATAAACTTTTAATATAATAAACATCAACTCTTAACATAATACACATAAATTTCCTGTTTTGGATGTACATAATTGTATAAAAAAAGATGTACATGATTGTATAAAAAATGTACATAATTGTATAAATAAATACACATAATTTATAATCAAATACACATAATCACGTCAATTACCTACATAACTTACCAAAACGACGTCGTTTTGGGAGGCACGGGACGCACAGTGTTATGCGCGCCGTGGTGCAGGGTATAACGGTGACTGCTCCTACCATGAAGATTAGTGGAGAAGGTAAATCGCGAGATATACCTCAACAGACCTACAAAAGCCCATAACCTTGCAGTTGTTAATAAGGCAAAACTTTTAAACTTAATTATTTTGAATTGATTTGGCAATTGTGCATAAGGGCATGTGACACTAATTTATAATTTTAAATTAGAAGGTTATATATTTAATCCCTAAATATGTAACCCATGAACAAAAAAACTAATAAAACTAATAATCCATTCATAAAATTCCAAAGAGTTTATGATATAATTTGATTATAAATTATATTTTTTTGAAATTAAAAAAGTATAGAACATATACAACCTTCTAAAAAATCATGATTGTTTCAATATAAATAAATAAATATATATATATATATATATATATATATATATATATATATATATATATATATATATATATATATATAGGGAAGGAATCAGGTGCGGGTGGGCTTCCCGTGCGGTTGTGCGGGTGAGCGCACGTTAAGCATTAATCTGATGCACTTAACACACGCACATTAAGCACAAACAAAATACCATAAGAACACAACTCCACGCACGTTAAGTACAAGCCTCACGCAAGTTAAGTACAAGCCTCACGCATGTTAAGCACAAGCCTCACGCGCCTTGAAGCACAAAACTCAGGCACCTTTTAAGTTTCAACAACTACTCACATTATTTAAAGCACAAACTCACGTACGTTAAGCACAAAACTCACGCACCTTAAGCACAAGACTCACACACCTTAAGCACAAAACTCACGCACATTAAGTACAAAACTCATGCACCTTAAAGTTTCAACAACAACTCACATTAAGTACACACTCACGCACATTAAGTACAAAACTCATGCACCTTAAGCACAAGACTCACGCACCGTAAGTACAAAACTCACGCACATTAAGCACAAAACTCAGTAGACACTCGCGCACCTTAAGCACAAACCTCACGCACCTTAAGCACAAGACTCACGCACCTTAAGTACAAAACTCACGTACATTAATCACCCGCACAACCGCACGGGAGACACTTACCTGCACTGGAACTTAATTCTATATATATGTGTGTGTGTGTCTAAATTTTATTGCACACAAAAATGTTGTTTCTTATAAAAAAAATTAAAAAAAAAATAAAGAGTTACATATTCAATTGAAGATCAATAAACATTACAAAGTTGTATAAGTTTGAATCTCAAAGTTAAATATGCCTCATCACTTCTATCCTGATACTTTTATACGTGTGTTCACTATAAATTAAACCAAATGTATTTGAACTCTATAAATAAGGTTGTTGGTAAGGTAAAATTTATAAATTTATTTTGAATTAATTGATTAGTTGAATTGTGCTGAAAATAAGTACTATAAAAAAATAAATAAAATAAAATAAAAAATAAAATAAAAAGGCAGAAGGTGGTTTGGTACTAGCTATAAGTACTTGGTAGTCATGTGCAGCGTAAATAAAAAATAGATAAATATATTCGTTGGTTACGGCGGACACCCATTAGTATATGATTCATTATTATATTCTTATATATAAAGTAATCTTTTTGTTAATAATTTGCATTATCAATGGAAGTGGGAAAATTATTGAATGAATCTTGGGCCTTAGCTTCAACATACTAAAATAGTAACAAAATATATATATATATATATATATATATATATATATATATATATATATATATATATATATATATATATATATATATATATATATATAAAATTTAAGCACTCCTGGTCCACTTTTAGTCACGTAATTTTTATTTATTTAATTTTTTGTAATGAGAAAAACTTGTAATCACTTTGCGATAGTATTTCATGTCATGTAAATAGTATTTTTCTTTTTTCATTTGATTGGTTGTTCCCCTCATCTATCTCTTCGTGTATTCTTCTATTTGTTCATGTTCATTGCTTGTTTTGCCCCTTTGGTGGTCGACTTGAGCTCCCTGTTGCCTTGTCAAGGCCTCCCTTGAGCCCTACAAAGCTGACTCGCATGTTGCGTTCTTGTTTCCCCATTGGTGATAGACCTTGAGACCAGTCTTAGGCCTCCTATGAGGTCGAGTGGATACTTGGCTCGGTCTAAGGCCTCGCCGAGGTCGTTTGGTTCCCAAACACGGGGCTTTTGTTGATCATTACCTCTTTCGCCCTCGGTTAGGTGACCAACTTTATTAGAGGACTAATTTCTCTCTTCTGTTATAAAGCTGTTAGGGAGGTTGTTGTAGTTAGTTATTTCCCTCCCTTTTCTTTTACCAGTAGCTATATAGGCTATTTTGTATCTTTCAAGAACGATTGATTCATTCTGCAATAGAACAGTGCCACTTCTTCTTTCCAGTGCCACTTCTTCTTTTCTCTCTATTCGATTTCTTTTGTGATATGGTATCAGAGCCACGATGGCTTGGACTGGAGCCACAGCAGCAAGTTCGATTAGGCCCCCAAGCTTCACAGCTCCGACGATAACAGCTCCGACGGCAGCAGCTCAAACAACGGCTCCGCCGGCAACTTCGACGATCTTGGATCCAAATGATCCGGGAAGTCCCTATTTTCTACATCCTAACGAGAATCCCGCACTGGTTCTCGTCTCTGCACCGCTAGATGGACGTAATTATCACCCATGGGCCAGGGGAATGGAAATGGCTCTTCTCTCCAAGAACAAGTTAGGGTTCGTGGATGGAACCGTGGTAGCACCAGACGTGAGTGATGTCAAATTTCCCTACTGGAGAAGATGCAACAACATGGTTGCAACTTGGATAATGCGCTCGCTCTCACCAGAGATTGCTCAGACCGTTCTTTGGGTGGGAACGGCGGAAAGGATCTGGAAGACCTTGAAATCGAGATTTAGTGAAGCAGACATATTTCGTGTTTCCGATCTACGCGCCGAGATGCATCAGATTTGCCAAGGAGACCTCAGCATAGGTGCGTATTTTGCAAAGTTGAAAGCCCTATGGGACGAATTGCAAGTTATAAGACCTCTCCCCACCTGCAATTGTGCACGGAGATGTGACCGTGGACTACTGGACAAGCTCCAACTACACCTAGACAGTGACAATTTGTCTGTGTTCTTGAGGGGGTTGAATGATAACTATGCCTTAGTCCAATCACAGATCATGATGATGAAGCCGCTACCCTCTGTTGATGAAGCATTTCTGATAGTTCAACAGCAGGAAAGGAGGTTCAATAATGGAATAGGTTCTTCACCCCAATCAACAGAGAACTTGAATGCAGGGAGTGTCTTTTTTAGCCAGACTACGGGAAGCAATTCGGGTACAAAGAAGTTCTACTCTAATGGAAATAAGAAACCAATTTTTACCTATTGTGGCTACACCGCTCACACTGTGGAAAAGTGCTACAAGAAACATGGGTATCCACCCGGTTGGAAGCCAAGAAACAAGAGTGTAGGGTCAGTCAATCAGGTTCAGATGGCTCAAAATCCCTCAGAAGACACTATATCTCTTTCTCAGAATGAGTATATGATGCTCAAACAGCTGCTGCAAAGAGAGAACAACACCTGCAATCAGAACTCACCTCTGGATGTGGAAGCCAGACCACAAGCAAATCTAATCTCTGCCAATTTTGTTCCCAGTGCTCAGCTATAAGGTAATCCTCTGCCATCATCTAGTAATAAGATACCTTGGATCTTGGATAGTGGTGCCACACATCACATTGTTTGCAATCATCATATACTGACATAAGTTAAGAGTGTTAAAAGCATGCATGTTGAGCTTCCTAATGGAAATAAGACTGCCATTACACATATAGGGGCAATTACTGTATCAGATGATTTAGTTTTGAAGAACGTCTTCTGTGTGCCTGACTTTCACTTCAATCTAATATTAGTCAGTGAGTTAATCAAAGGCTCTAATTGTAAATTGGTACTACAATCTGATATATGCATCATACTGGATCAAGTCCTTGGGAAGATGACTGGACAGGTTAAGTTGGAGAGAGGTCTATACCATCTGGTGCAACCTGATTTCTTTGTCTCTTCTGATTCTGTGCAAACTGTTAGAATAAATCCTTGTAATACTGATAGGTTGTGGCATGCCAGATTAGGGCACATTTCTTATTCAAAGATGAAAATGATGCATTTGTATAAATCTGACTTGAAATTGAATAAAGAAGCAGCTTGTGATATATGCCACTTGGCTAAACAGAAAAGATTGCATTTCCCTGCTAGCACTACTACTTCTTTTAACTGCTTTGATTTGGTCCATGTTGACATTTGGGGACCTTATGGGGTGCACACTATATATGGTCACCAGTACTTCTTGACTATTGTGGATGATTACAGCAGGCTAACTTGGGTTTTCTTAATGAGGGGCAAACATGAGACTAGGAATCTCATTCAAGACTTCTGTGCTTTAGTTCACACACAGTTTGGGAAGTATGCCAAGTGCATTAGGACAGATAATGGGCAAGAGTTCAAGATGAATAAGTTCTACCAAGAGAAGGGGATCATTCACCAGACTTCCTGTGCCTATACACCTCAGCAAAACAGTGTGGTAGAAAGGAAACATTGGCATATTTTATGTGTTGCAAGAGCCCTGAGGTTTCAAGCAAACTTACAAGAGTGTTTTTGGGGAGACTGCATTCTACAAGCTGTGTATATCATTAATAGAATACCCTCAGATGCCTTACAAGGAAAAGTTCCATATCAAGTTCTATTTGGAAGCCCTCCTCAACTTTGCCACCTCAGAACTTTTGGTTGCATGGCCTATGCTGCCAACATCAGAGGGTACAAAACCAAGTTGCTCCAAGATCAAGGAAGTGTATGTTCTTAGGATACCCCAATGGTGTGAAAGGATACAAGTTATATGACCTACACACTAGGGAAGTGCTGATATCCCGGGATGTATTCTTTTATGAAAAGAGTTTTCCCTATGAGTCACAACACAATTCTTATAATCAGGTGATCAAATCTCTCATTATTCTACCTAATGCCACATGTACAGCAGATGATTGTTCCCCTTCAAGTCTCAATAATCCAGATGCTACTCCAACAGTTATCAATATGCAACCTAGTGATGCCATTGAGCACCCTGAAAATTCTGTCTTAGATCACCCTGAGGATGCCATTGAACCACCCCAACAAATCAGGAGGTCCACCAGGCAGGTGTCTAAGCCAGCATATCTTCAGGATTATGAGTGTCAACACACTTTCAGGAGGACCACCCCTCACACATTATCTTCTGTTTTGTCATATGACAGACTCTCACCAGGATTCAGAGTCTTTGCCTTGAATGTGCTGAATCAGGTTGAGCCCAGGACTTATAATGAAGCCATCCAACATGATTGTTGGAAATTAGCCATGCAAGCAGAGATATATGCCCTTCAAGCCAACAAAACCTGGGAACTCACAACCCTCCATCCCTCTAAACATGCCATTGGGTGCAGATGGGTTTACAAAGTGAAATACAAATCAGATGGGACTGTAGAGAGGTGTAAAGCCAGATTAGTAGCCAAAGGGTACACCCAAACTTGTGGGCTGGATTATACTGACACTTTCAGGCGAGTAGCAAAGATCACATCTATTAGAACCCTGCTTGCTGTGGCTGCTGCAAGAGGATGGCAATTACATTAGCTTGATGTCAACAATGTATTCCTCCATGGTGATCTTCATGAGGAGGTGTACATGCAGCTCCCACAAGGTTTTGAAGCACAACATCCCAGGCAACTGTGCAGACTGACCAAGTCTCTTTATGGACTCAAGCAGGCCAGTAGACAATGGAATTCTAAACTCACAAGTGAGCTGATCTCATTAGGGTTTAAACAGGCTGTCTGTGATACCACCACACATCTACAAGCAGTTCATAGAGTCTTAAGATACATCAAGCAATGTCTTGCACAAGGCTTATTCTTCCCAGCGAAATCTGATCTTAAACTAAAGGGGTTTGCTGATTCGGATTGGGCAGCCTGCCCTCACACAAGACGGTCTGTAACAGGGTTTTGCATGTTCCTAGGGGAAGCATTGATCTCCTGGAAGTCCAAGAAGCAACATACAGTGTCAAGATCCTCGTCTGAAGCCGAATATAGAGCCATGACACTTGTAGCGTGTGAAGTCCAGTGGCTAACTTTCTTACTTGACACATTGGAAGTCAAAACCAAAGGGCCAGCCATCCTCTATTCTGATAGTAAGTCTGCAATAGCGATTGCAGAAAATTCGGTGTTTCACGAGCGCACAAAGCACATAGAGATTGATTGCCATCTCATAAGAGAAAAGCTTCAAAGAGGGGTCATCCGACTTCTGCACGTCTCCACCGACAACCAGGTTGCTGACATCTTAACCAAGCCCTTACAACCTTTGTTATTCCAGCGAAGAGGCCATGACGCGGAACTCCATACGTAAATCGCGAAAGACGTATAGATTTTGTTCATCCAACGAGATGGGTCGACTGGCCATGGCTAGTTCCTTGACGAGAACCTGAGCTCGTCCTAAGTATTCCGATGGAAAACTATCACCTTGACGAAGACCCTGCAACTGCCAAAGCAAGCCAAGCGCACGAGCATGTGTGGAAGAGCCAAAAGTATTTTCAACAGCCTGCTGATGGATAATTTTAATAATATCCTCACAAGTGCACGAGTCAGTGTAGTAATAAGGTGCAAAAGCAAGGGTCGATCCCACAGGAAATTGTACGATGCAATTTAATAACTTGAAATTAATGAAATAATGGACTTGACAATTTAAAGTACTAGAATAAAATGTCAAAGATAATGATCAATTTACATGGAAAATAATTAAATCAAAGCGCAGGTAAGTAACCAGAGAAATTAGCTAGAACCGGAATATCAAATAACAACCATGATGGAAAAGCTTAAGAACACGAATCTAATACTACTATTAAATTTGTACCTTAGTCTAATACTAACCATCATTAAAATATCAACCCTTAAAAGCAAATAAAATAAAGCTTAAATATAATAATCAAATAACATAGAGCTTAGCAAATTAAAAGCAAATATACTAAATCAATTATCATAAAGCTAGCTTAGCATTTGACAGTAACTCAAAGGCGAAAACAAACAATACTCAAAGGCTTTAATGTAATAGAGTTTAGAATTTTGACATTTTACTCTAGGCTCCACGAGCAGCACTTTACAATTTGGAAATTGAATGATTAAACCAAAGAATTGCTATGAAAGGAAAGGAAAGCCAAAAACCAGGAAGATAGTCTGCCACGTTTTGCTGCTGCCTCCAAGATTCTTCCACGCCGCTGAGATGAAATTGCCACCGTCGAACAGGCCTTCTGTCCGCCGGAACGAAATCAGAACAGAGCGCACCACCGGAAATCTGATCTGCGGGGGTGAATCGATGATCAAGCCTCCTTCCATTGCCCTCTATTTATATTGCCTCAGACTCAACCTCTGTTCCGCACGTCCGCTACTCATTCGGATCGCCGGAGAAATTGATATGCGAAATATGATTCTGGTCTTCTGCGCCTTTTATCTCGTAGGAATTTGACTAGCTAACAAAATTTATTAAATAATAGTAATAATAATAAGAAGAATAATAATAATAATAATAATAATAATAATAATAATAATAATAATAATAATAATAATAATAATAATAATAATAATAAACTAAGATCAAAGAATTAAAGGACTAACAGAATTCAAATACTAAACAAATTTAATAATAACTATTCTAAAATTGAACAAAATTAATAAAGCTATTAAAAATAATAATAATAAATAAAAATATAGATTAATTAATTAATTAATTATTATTTATTGCAAATAAACTATAAAAAGATTATATAAAATAACACTAAAAATAATGTTTATCACCTGCCAGACGAAGCGTGAAGTTGTTCGTCCAACAACTAAGAACATTACCTCCTCAGATATGGATGATACAAGCATAGACAATATTGATTGGTCCTGCTGTATCCAAGCCAAATACGTTGCATTCACCACCGTAGAGGAACCATCAACAGCAACGACGGTCGCCGGAGGACATGGGTTCGTATAGTCAACGTAACCAAGCAGATTCTGGCCACAGAGGAAGGGAACTAGCTAGGTGCGCCAAAACAGGTTGTTCCAAGAGGTTAATTTAATTTGATTGACACGAAGTGATGGACTGACAAAAGAGACGGCGAAGCAACCACCGAAGTAGAGGAGAGGTTACCGGCAGTAATCGTACGCTCAGACAAGGCGTCAGAAGGGTTTGAGGAAGCCATTCAGGATCAAACGAAGCAAACTGATACCATATAAGTGTTTTAGGGAAAACCAATGAATTGTATTAATAATATACCATATAAGTGTTTTAGGGAAAACTAATGAATTGTATTAATAATAGAATAGTCAATTGTTACACGATAGAATATAATTATACACATAAACATAATAGAAGTAGATACATACAAGGGCACAACCTATAGAGTCCTAATAAAATTCATATATTGAGTTTTGCTATTTTCTTGGGGGGATCGAACCCATATATTTGTGTTGTGGTTCGGCTACCAAATAATTACCCTCCCAAATGCTCTGTCGGGTCGGGGTGTGGGGGGCCCTTAGGGTTGGGGTTCAGCCTTTTGGAAGAATTACCCTTAATTATGATTTTTGTGGGTTCCAGTCTAATACTAACAATACCGAA